GGTGAGCAGTAGGAAAGTGAATTATGCAGAACAAATTGGAATCTGCACCGTATATTCACAGCTGCAGAAATGCTTGAGAAGTTTTGATTGTAGTAATTTTGTTGCAAGTATTTCTCGGCTCTATCCCATAAAGCTGGATACAGCTGCTACTCTGACTCAAGTCGCATCAGGCTCAGAGGAAGAGAAAAATAATGCAATACATAGCCTCTGAACATAACCTGAGGTAACTTCTATGCGCTGCAGTGGCTTGGGTGAGATTCTCACACATAGCTCTCATTTAAGTTGTCTCACTTTTTTATTTCCAAGATGCGTGATGATGAAGAACTTAAGTCTTGACCGTTTTAAGGCATTAGCCAGTGTGACTTCAAAAATAAATGTTTTGATGAGATGAACCTTTTTGCTAATGGCTTTCTCTTTTTTTTTTTAATATATATTTATGTGAAGCTACTTGAAGGTTTGGTGGTGGAGAAAAGCCAGACTAAGATGTGAAGGAATTGGGGGGATGATAGATGTGCTGTGCAACACAGTCATGTGCCTTGCCAAACAGCTATTGCTGCTGTGTGCCAGGTTTCTAGATAGGCAAAACTAGCCAGGTAGAGTTCTCATTTTGCTCTGGATAAAACTGGGCTGCCCTGCATTTAAGCCATACCTAGCATATAGCTCTTCTGTTAATTCCCAAGTTATGATTTTGGGGTTTTTTTAAAGCTTTACTGAAATTTGTGCTATTCCTGCTGTTTTGTAGTGTCACATTTGTAAGACTTTTCTGTACCTTTTCTTCTGTCAAATTCATGAGTTCCTTGCCCTACATATAAAATAACTGTGTGCCATTCAGTCCAGTTCCAGCTAATCACCAATGGTAAGTTCACTTGCATCTCTAGAACAAGTTCTGGCACAAGTTTGGAGTGAGTCATCAGAAGGGCCCTTGGAATTGCCATCTTGTTAAATCTGTTGTAGCCTGGTTTGTGTAGATCAGAACAAAGCTTGAACTCAGAGATGAAAAATAATAAATCCCTGCCCTGTCTTCAGGGATATAGCAAGAGATTGGCCCACCAAACCAACCCCTCCATAGGAAACTACTGATCTCCCTCTTAAACGATAATCTTCATCCTGCTCTTCAAAAACGCAAGAAGAGAAATGGATCATGCTGTGATCATAGGAGGCTTTTAAGACCAAAATAGAAGGTGAACTCCAAGCCCTCACAAAGAAACTGTTTGTCTCTAATTGTTTTCTGTTTCCATAATGCTTAGTATAATAAAACTATCTTGCCTTCTCCTTTATTTTTCAATCATGATTAGACTTTAATGTTGTTAAAGCTTATAAGTGAGTTTGAGCTACTGTCTCGTTGAAGAGAAGATGGAGCTGAAATTGTCAGTGAGGCATTGGACAGGGTTTTTTAATGTGTCTGTCATTATATGTTAACCTCTGAACTGGGACACGACGTCTGTTTTATGGCTGACAACAATTTAAAGGTATACGTCTTGACATCGTGGATAAAGGAGGAAGGGGGAGTGGAGGAAAAAATGAATTAATGATGTTAGCAAATATTAGTCCCCGTATTTCCATTTTATTTGGAAAGCAGTTGTCAGGCTTTGAGGCTATCTGGAGCAGCATTGTCAGTGACAGCCAGTCGAGATGCGATTGTACCTTGAATAAAGCTGGTCTTTTATTGACAAATACAGTGCACTGAGGCAGGAGTGAGGATGCTCTGCTGTCTGTTCCGGGAGGAGTGCAGTTTTTCTCCTGGCATTCCTGGTGACATTTGAGAAGGATAGGTCTGGCCTTGGTGGAGTTCCCTGCACCAGTCCGTGAGCGCGTTGGGAGTCAGGGGAGTTGAAAATGTCTCTTAATGAGTACATATGTTGTGTACTGAAGCGTATATTTGCCCTTGATTTATACTAGCTTTGGTCAACCAGATCCACCTACCAAAGTTAACTGTCAAGAGTAATAGTGATTTTGATATCAGCCTTAAGTGTACACGAGCAACAAAGAGTCAATGAGCAAGAATTAGGGGAAAACATGAGAAATTCCAGGGCCTCTTAAGGCATCTCTTACACATCTTTATCGCCTCTTCCCGAATCTTTTATGTGCCACTGCCTGAGTGCAATCCTCCAAGGTTTCTTCCCATGCTGCCATAAATTCCCCTTTATTCCCACAGTTTTTAACGGGCAGTTTGAGGGCAACCCCCCCATGCTCACAGAGCCCCCAATAACTTCGCCTTTTCTGCAGCATCTCTCTTACATGTTCCTGACTGCAGATAATACTGCTGTCAAGTCTGTCGGATTGAGGTTGCAAATTATGGGAGCCTGGGATCTTGCCTATCATTAGTTACATGTGTATCTGCAGTGCTTTTGGACATCACTACCAGCAGGGAAAGAAACTGAGCTGGCTTAATTGAGAGCCACATAGTTAATTATTGGTGCTTTTTTTAATGGAGAGAGAAGATTTTGCAGTGTCAGTTTTTAATTTCATTGTGGTTTGCAGGGTAATGTGACTTTAAACTCACGGTCATTATCTGTGTATATGTAGTATTTGCTTTATTTTTCCCACCCTAAAGGCCCTTTTCTGCTGTAGTAATGTCAAGAGATTTAAGAAGGAAAGTGCATCTGCACATTACCAATCCCTTCAGTCAGTGTGAGCAACAAATAAAAATGCTGGTTCTGGTTAGTACAGTAGCTGTGACATGGTTTGGAAGGAGCACCTGGTTCTGTCCCACCTCCTTCATTACCCAGTTTGGTATGTCGTGCTCAGGTGTTGCATGCGAGTCCCTGGGCAGGCTGGTTAGTGTAGATATTTGAAGTGAACAGATGAGCTCATGGTATAGGCAAGTTGTTAAGGGCAGCTGGAAAGAAACCAGTTTGTGTCTGTGTTGAGGCAGAGATAAAAACTTCTTTGGGAAGAAGCATTCCTTGTAGCCTGGACAGATTCCCCTTGGGAAGTCCGGTGGTGGTGAATAGTGGAGCCATGATGCTGTCTTCCATGGCTTTGCAGAGTAGAGGTACACATTAAGTCCTGAGAGGATAACTGAGACTTTTCCTGTACATTTTTCATAAACTTGTTCTACATATCAAGGACTGTGATGGAATGAGCTTGGTTCAACATTCATAAATTGAATATTGAGTTACCTATTTCTGTGTGAAAGAGATGAAATAAAAGCTGCTTGGACAAAGTAACCTGTATATGGATTAAAAGCCAGAGAAGTTTTTGCCTGAGCATTTTTGGGAAAGCCTTTATCACGAAGTTTCCTGATGACCTTATGTGTACTCAATCAACATGATTAATCTTTGGTAGAAGTGCATTGGTTGTGCAAAGAAGGTGAACTTAATCCAAGAAACCTTTTTTACAATTTCTGCCTCTGGAAACATGAAATATATTTTCTCAAGTGTTGCTTCTGACTTGGTGAAAAAAAAAAACAAAAAAACAAACAAAAACCAGAAACAAACCAAAAACTGCAATGGGAAGAGATGAAATAATAGAGATTGAAAATTTTTTTGTAGTTTCTGATACTGGTTGAATGACCACTGTCCCTCAATATCAGAGAAGATAGACATTGTGAGTAGTTGTGAGTATTAGCTTCATTTTATAGAAATAACTCTTGCATGTACTAGCAGATGATCTGAAATTAATTTTCTTTATAAGTGGTGTGGAAATAATTGATGGACAGTAAGGTTCTCAGCTAAATAATTTTTTTAAGAGGGGCACTGCACTGTAAAGACTCTGAAGCCCTTTCCCTTCAGGAAAGGAGAACTTCATGTCACCTTTTGCTCTAAATTAGAGAAAGCCTACTTGCCGTAGAATAGTTTTCAAAGACAATTTCCTTTCCATTTTTTCTTATAAAGAAGTATGTCTGTGATACCTGCTAAACCAAATATTAGGGCTTTGGCTGGTACAGGACATCTGAAAAGTGGAACTGGTTGGCTCAAACTGGGAAGAATGTGAATGTATTATGGAGAAACGATAAATTGATTTAAAACAAAAGCAACCTATGGAGCAGGAAGAAAGAAAAATATATTCATGTTTTATTTTTCAAAAAAAATCAACATCCTTCTAGGTAGAATTCTGATGAGGCAGCACACTTTTTGGTGTAATCAGCAATGTACTGCAGTTAATGAGAGACTGCTAGAGTTTGGGATGGTTTTCCCTTTGCTTCTGATTTTATTCATCTTGGGTTTGATAATCTCTCATCATAGAAAGCCACAGGACTGTCCACTGACGACAGCACATTGCAATTAATGGGCTGGTTTTATACGGAATTACTGCTGCAAATTGCAAAAGTTTTGACTTCTTATCCAAAAACTGAGGTACTAGATGCCGTAGAAGAGTTAGGGTTTCTGGTGCCCTGCACCCCCTAAAATAGGGTCAGGTTTTCAGACAGCAGGCACTTAGCCCTTTCTGAAAGTCTGGCATCAATGTAAAGTCAGTCAATTGAAGATCTCAAGCTGCAGTATGTTTTTTTGAAAAGGTAGACCTGAGGCTCTGTATCGATCAATCATTATTCTAATTGTTCATTTCTATTATGGTGGGAATCATTCAGAATCTTAGAGTTCCTGTGAGTAAATCATTTGGAAATGCTGCCCATTATAAAATTCAATTTAAAATCTATATTAAATAGATTTATAAAGGCAAGCTTTGCAATCTAGTAACGTAACATTATGCTACCTCACAAAGGCTCAGCTTTTGGGACCTAAGGGGCCATGGCTGGGAGTGCAGCGGAGGCAATGCTTTGGCTCATTGGGAGTAGGACAGCGAGGCTGCCAAGCCTAGCTTTCAGGTGACCCTTTGGGGCCACCTTCAGAGGAGCATTGATCCGGTTTGCTGAGATGGTGGAGTAGCTCTTCTGGATGGAGTAGGGTTGTGGGGTTCCATCTGCTGTGAAGATGAGGCTTCCAGAGGGCTGATTCCACCTCTGGATCAGAGGAAGGGGTGGGAGATGGTGGAGAGGTGGCACAGGCTGGAACAGGATGGGAGCCAGGATGCTGGACCAATCTTTCTTTTTCTTTCAGATGACAGAGAAGAAGGGAAAGGAAAGCAAAACTGCATTTGGAGGCCCAGTTGTCAGCTCACTGTATCAAGAAGAAACAATCAGGTGATTATCTGCACTGGACTTCAGTTAAAACCAGTATTTTTCTAATGTCATTTTGTTAAGCTTTTTTTTTAATATTGCACAAGTGTGGTGGCAACTACAACAGGATAATAAATGACAGGAAAGAACTTTTCAGGTCCATAATCATTTAAATCAATAACTGCCTGTATCATTGCCAGGTAGTAACCTTTCTCTAGCGTGAGATGTGGGGGAAGGGCAAGGCTTCCCATTTTTCAGTTATATGGCTAAGAAAAGGTAATATTGGATATTTTTAATAGAAAGCTATTCAGTCGCTACCTTTTTCAAATAGTTATTTCTTTACCAATACATTCATTAAGGATTGTTCAGTGGAGGTTTTAATGTTGGACAATGTTTGCCTTCAGGGAGAGTTTGTACCTTATATCAAATTAATTTTTTTCTAGCTTCTCCAGCTAGCATAGCAGAAATGCATTTACTGAACTAGAATGGCTGCTATTTAAAAACTGCCAAGGTGCAAGTAGTAAGTGACATTAGCTACTGAATAAGGACAGCTGAATTTTCTTGTTTGGTTGGTTTTTACTGTTCCAGACTACTAATCATGGGTATAATATTAACTCCAGTACCTAAATGATTGTCTAGAGGATCTTTCAGAATACAGCATCGTATTTTTAGTTAAAATGAACAGTCAGGAAAGACTAAATTTTTGAGCAGTGTTTGCTGTCATGTTGCAGTCACCCATTTATGTGTATATGATCCCATTTGTTTTATTGAATGTCTTGCATCATTTTAGTCCCAGGAAATTAAACACTGATTTCTCTACACACAGCCTCCCAAGCTTGCTGAGAACTTTTCCAAAGTGTTAAAACTCTAACACAGCATTTCTTTGCCTTGTCACAAACAAATGAAAAATAAATCTTGAGCAGATGGCTCCTTTGTAAGGAGCTCAGGTAGAAATTGATATGGATATTCTGTGTAAGCAAATTGGGTGGCAGTTCTGTGCTCGGCAGTAGTGTGGGTACTTCCCTTGGTGCTGCAAGCCACTTTATAGCAAGATGGAGCAGTTGGCCAGGAATAACCACCTCCACCTCACATGGAGAGCCAATGCATCTTTAACTTGCCCCTGAACCTTGACCAGAGGTGCTCAGGTATGACCTTGGTTTAACACACTGAGGAATAGCACTTCTACTAGCCACAAGATCCTTTTTCTTACCTGCCAATGTAGGTCTCAGCTAACATCCTTGACCTCGTAGTTTGACCTTGTGGTTTTAAATCCTGTTCAAGCTCTTCTTTTAGGAGTGGAACATAATCAGTGCTGCCCAGTGTTGGCTGCTTAAGTATGAGATATGCTTCGTCCTGCAGTGCTTTCAGAGTCTTGGCTATCCCAAGTACTGCCTGTGCCCCTTCCTGAGTATGAAATACAGCACAATATACAGGAAAACAGTGTGCTTTAGTTGGCTGGACTAGTCTAAATCTTCTTGCCACAGTTTTGTTTTATTTCCATGACTTGTGCAAGACTTGAAGATAAGTGCAGCTCCGAATCTGAATACATTTTTTCCAAACATACCATAAGGAACAGGTGCTGTATGTTCAGTATAGCATAGCTGTGATCCTTACAAAATGAGACTGTAGGTGGATAATCTCTGACATAGCTGGAATAGGGTGATTCTGCTGAAAGTGAGTTAAATGAAGTCTCCTGACTCTGCTGGCAGAATGGAAACTCCCGTGGTCCATTAGTCCAGCATGCCTCGCAGGTGTCATCAGTGTCTTCAACTGCAAGATGGGAAGTGAGCAATTGTCAGCAGTATCATCCACATGCAGGTTGTGCAGCTTCAACTTTCTCAGTGCAGTTGCCCAGGTATTATGGCTTTTGTCTATGGTTCATTCTCTTACTGGAACAGGGAATAAACATGTGCAAGTATAGGCACATCTCTAATGGTGATAATTATAATAGTAAAACCACAGCCCTAAACAGCAAAACTGCACTGGTACCAAATCTGCAAGCATATGAGCCAAAGAAGGATGGCTCTAGACATTCAGTTTGGCATCCAGGCTTCTCTAGAGCATGGAGTGAATTGGTTTGATAGTAATACCACTCACCTGAGAAGGGTGACTTTTTTGAAGCTGTGAGTGGTTACTTGCAAGAATATAAGATTAATATTCAGTAATACTTCAGTGCATTTGTCAATGGAATGTAGTCTTTAAAAAATAAGGCATTTTGTGTAGAGCAAGGAAATGAAAATGTTTAAGGGGAAAGAAAACTTTAAATAGCTTGAGCTAGTATAAACACATTGATAGTTACAGGTAAGTCCCATGCTGCAAATTCAACGTGTATGTGTATGCTACCTCAAAACCTAAGATCTGAGAAAAGGAACTTTAACGCACACAGATTATTTTATTGACTCGGTTGTCTATGGTGGGCCTACTGAAGCTTTACAACAAGCTTGCAAAAAATTGGAGTATAAGTCAAACCACTTTAGTCTCTCCCAGCGCTGTTGATAGGGTAAATATTTTCTAGCTACAGGATCATATTAAGGAAGCATGGAATAAGCAAATAAACCTTTTGTGTACTGAAAACCAAAACTCAAGTCCTCATCAGCCCTGGTTTCTGAAAGACTGCTGGAGGCAGTTTCTCAGCAGGCATTACTCTGCCAATCACAGCCCACCATATGCCCTTTAGGATTTCGGTGATGCAAAGGTGGGAAAAGGCTGTTTAATTTATCTGGAGCCCATCAGCGTCGCAAGCTTGCCTTGCACCAGGAGATAGGCAAGAATGCAAGTGCAGAGTTTTGAAGGTTCACCTAAGCAGGTGTACTTATTTTACTCTTACCAGAAGCTTTTGAATGGTTTATAAAACTATCAGCCTCCTTCAAGCTGCTCTTATGTAATAGGAAGATGAGAGATGTTGGTTTAAATGGTGTAAACCACTAGCTTACCATCAGCAGTAAATTACCAAGCAAACTGAGTGTATAAAATTAGGCATAAATGAAGCTTACATTCCTTTTGTGGAATGAAATGTTTGAGGTTTAGAGTGCAAATCTGTAAATGCTGGACAAAGTGGAATTACCATACCCTACCCTAAAGTTAGGTGGATCAGAAGTAGGAGGAACTGGAATGGTGCCAAGGCTGATTTTACCTTATCACTAATTATCTCAAATGTTTCTACTTTGAGAACAAGATAGAAAAATGGTCAGTCTGGCTCACAGAAGTACAATGCACTGATTCCAAATAAATTCAAGAACATCCATAGAAACAGGGTATACCAATCTAATTAAATCAATTTAGAAAGAGATTCGGTTAAATCAGTGCAATTTGTGTGTTCATAGATCAATCCTCAAATCAGGAGAAGGTCTCTTGAGCTAATGAGGCATAGTAGTTATTTACTTTGGGGTGCTGGGCACTGGCCATCAATTAGGAGTCATTAATAAACCCTGGTAATAAAGAGCTCAAGTACCCCCAGTGACTAATGAGGAGCAGTTGCAGAGTCTATTAGCATAGTGCTCTGCCTCTGTGTTTCTCTGCAAATCACTTATCTCACTTCGGGCATTACATAAAAATAATGCGTGCTGGTGACGGGACTTGGAGGTTCCCCTGGAAGAAAGGATTTAGAAATTATCAGTGATTTCAGGCTTGGTATAGTGGTGGGGTTTGTTTTACTGCTGCATAAAGCTTTATGTCTCTTTTCTGGTCTTATTACCAGAACAAAAGCAGTAGTAGTTGAGCTCTTTCATAATCAAATAGCTATAATTACAGTTTCACAAACCTGGGAAATGAGCAGTGAAATGAGGTTGACTGATGTGTCACCAGTATAAATCTAATCTAAGACACAAATTGAGGGAGATGCCAAAAATACCATAGCATTGGAAATTCAACTTTAAGGATGTTTTTCAATTTTTTTTTTTTAAAGTGGGGGCAAGGGGGAGGCAGTTTATAAGCATTTCCAGCAAACGAAAGCATTGACTTGGCAGGTGGAAGATGCGAAATAATGTTGCCAAATATTTGTGTCCTTTCCACTTCCACTGGAGGAGCCCTCCTGCACTCTGCTGTGGGCTGCTTCCACACAGGCTGGATGTGCTGGGATGGGAATGCCATCTGCCAGTCAGCACAGAAGCCTCCCTGAGCTTTCCTTTACGCTTCTGCCATCCCGAGGGATGCTGAAGCAGGTATTTTCTGGTAGAAACTTCCACCTTTTCCCATAATGCTCAGGAGCAACCCCAGTCACGAGTGGGGTTCTGTTTAGGATCAGGGTGTGGAGTGGGCACCCCTCGAATTCGGGAGCCCACCTGATGCCATGTAATCTATCAGAATTGTATTAATCCCACTAACACAGCCGCCATCTGGCCCCGCTGCCAGGCCGGCTCGCGCGAGCCCCCATGATGGATGGCCTCAGGAATTGATTAGTTGTTGTGTGAGACAAATGAACTGTTTTGGCAGAAAATACCAGAGGTCGCTGCGTGTGGTCAGGCACAAAGGCTGCAGAATTTTAAAGAGCTGCTTCCAGCATCCATTGCAAGGATGCCGCTTCAGAGCGGCGATGCCTTTTGAGATGAGCCCAGCGCTCTGGAGCACAGGTTTTGTTTTCTCCCTCCAGCCCCACTTTTGGGAATGCCAGCACTGGAAATTAGTGCAAAGCTGCAGAGATGTGGGAGCCGGCACCTTGCCGTGTTGGGAATTACGGGCTCGTGCTGGTATTGTGTGTGCATGTGGGTGGCTGCACCACAGATGTCTGTCACTCGCATAAACGCTGGGCTGTGCAGTCCCTGCGGAAGAGCCTTCCCAGTTGTGCGGAGCCCAAGTAGCCTGCAGTGTGCTCAGCCATGGCGCATCTCAAACAAAACACCTGCATGTCCAGACAGCTGGGGTTTGGGTTTTTTTCAGGTCAGTGTTATTTAGAAGTGGATGCTCTTCTGGTGATGTTTAACAGGCAAATCCCTGACTTCAAGATGATTGCCAAGTTTATTGCTTTCCTCTCCCTTTTATTGTCCCTGGAGCGGTGACCCTTGGGGCTTTGCTTTGTTGTTCAGAGG